GGGGGAGGGGGGGAGGGTAAGGTCGGGGAGGGGGGAGGAGCAGGGGGTTGTTTTTTGTTGTTTTGCTGGTGGGTGTTGTTGGGTTTTGTTTTTTGGTGTTTCGCTGGTAGGTGTTGTCGGGTTCTGGCCCCTTTGGATGGAAAGAAGACATGTACGTAACCAGGTCAAGAGCTCGAGTCCAGGAGGAGCTCAACCCAAATGGGGAAAAGAGATTTCAGAGTCGCTTTCTTGCTTCTCTTGGTAGGATGTGAGCCCAGGCTGTCCGCCAACAGTCGACAGGTGTACACTTCAGCCGCGTGGGCTTGGTTTTCCTTGTTTTCTGTCTTTTTTTTTGGTTGTTGTTGGGGGGGGAAGGGGGCGTATGTACCACCCAGCCCATGTAGCATCACCCACCTTACCCCACACTGTACCAGCCAGCCCACACAGTACAGCAATTTCATCAAAACGGACCATTTTTTATTTGAATTGGAACTGACTGAAGTGGCAGGTCAAAATTTGTAACTTCTGAGGGTCCAGCACACTTAAAATGCCGGACCCCCTGGATGTAACTGGACTTAGCTGGAGTCCAGGGGGCATGGCATTTTAAGAACGCCGCACCCTCAATTTCGTCAAAATTTGGACCTCAATCGGGCTGAATCGGGCCAATTTAGTCGGTTTCAATTTCGTTCAAAAGATAAAAGATCATTTAAATTTTAAAGATGTCCGTTTTGATGAAATTGCTGTTACAGCGCCCTCCAGTCCACATACTGTGACCCACCCCACGTCAGGGGGTACGATGCATCCATTGCATCTAGCCCTTCTTCAAGATGCATTCGTTTGTTTTTCGTTCCGACAGTGGTGTGGCGAGGCCCATAGTGCATCATCTGGTGAGCAATAGTATTTATGGATGTAGGGGTGGATAAGGGATTTTTTTTTTCCCCCCCTCTTTCGACAAGGTAAAAATAACAGGAGTTCTTAACTAATTTTAATACACAAGCAGATGCCCACCGTGGCTACGCCGCCGGCGGCGCACACCTGCTCCTCTCTCTCTTCCTCCCACCTTTTCCTCCACCCCCTCCTCCTCCTGTTCCCCATTCTCTGCCACCTCCTCTCTGTCCTGCTCTCACACCTGCTCCTACCGTCTTCACCCGAACATAACGCACTCTGATAATGAATGTATACATGCTACATTTCCCGTCCGGTACAGCCAAAATGAGGGAGCGTTGTATTCGGGGGGCGAAGCCTGAAAATGTCTACTGTTAGAAAAATAGCAAAACAACCCAGGACACCAAGAGCTAATCCAAAATCACCTACTCGATTCACATGCGCCTCTCTCTACCTCCCACCCTTTCCTCTGCGCCCTCCTCCTCCTCCTCCACCTCCTCCTCCCCGTCCTCTGCCACCTGCTCTCTGTCCTGCTCTCACACCTGCTCCTACTCCCTCCCCCCTCCCACGCCGGTGGCACACACCTGCTCTTCCTCCTCCCCCCCCTATCTTCTGCCAACCACCTCCTCCTCCTCCCCTTTCTCTGCCACTTTCTCCCACACCTGCTCCTCCTCCTCCTCCCTCCTCCTCCTCGTCCTCCCCTTTCTCCGCCAGTTCCTCTCCATGCTGCTCCACCATCCCTCTCCTCGCCAGCCCTCCTGGCCCTCCGCCACACGCCCTTCTCTCTCCTCCTTCCTGCGCCATGTCCTCCTCCTAACCCTCGTCCTCCTCTGCCATCTATGCGGCCAAGAAGAAGGGGGAAAAAAAGACATAAGCCCAACTGGCCTAACTCAGTTGGTACACACAGACCCGCTGAGTTCAAACTCCACTGGAAGCAGATGAGTGAAACACTACGATTCCTAACCAGGACACTCGGTTGGACACTCCGTTAGGAGAGTGTCAAGTAATAAGGAACACACAGTTCCACCAGGCCATGTGGGCCCGGTCATCGCTTTAGACGTATAACAAAGGGCCAGTGGTTTTTCGGTTTTTCGGCGAGAAGTGAGGAACATTGCGATTAGCTAAAGCAGAGTAGTTATAGTTCGTCAGTTGGATTGGCTGAGTTCGGTGATGAAAGGATGTTCAGTGAGTTTTGGTCCCCGGTTCGGCCCCAAGCGAAACTGGCTGAGGATGCCAGGGATAACTCTGGGTAGAATTGTGAGGACCCCGGCCTCAATCCATTTGATGTTGGAATTAAAACTGTGACTGGGAAAAAAAGGGGGAAAAGAAAAGAAAAAGAAAAAAAACATCACTACAATTCTGAATTACCTAGGGCCGGTCAGTTCAATGATGATATCTCAAGGCAGTCGCCCTTTTTTAAAAAAAGGGAAAAAAAAGGAAAGACATAAGTCCAGCCCCCTGATTTCAGACCATGCGAGAAAGAAAAAACACTGTGCCAAAGTTAGGCACACACAGCCATTCAAAAAAAATAAAAAAATGGCACACAGCCATCAGAAGAAAAAAAGCACACACACAGCCACGCGCACAAAAGAAAAACAACACATTTAGCCACACAACTCCACCCTAAATCTGTGTGCTAAATAATACCGGTCACCCTTGGCACCGTGATCAGACTATGTGCGCTGGCCAGTATTATGTGGCCTTCCCCGGCTGGGCGGTGTTAAAGGGCCTTCGTCATGCTACGGGGGTTGGATGATATCATTGACCGGTTGGGACCGGTTGGGACCGTTGTTGGGACCATAATGCTACGTTGGTTGGAGGATGTCATTGGGACTGCGCGGTATTATACCACCAGTACTTGGCCCATACATCAACCGTGGGCCCTTTACCTTTACTGCACTCTATTTTTCGGGCCTCGGATACCAGAGCAAAATGGCTGGTAGCGCCGGCCGAAAGAAAGTTGAACCGGTTTGCTTTTTTTGGTGCACAGCGCATTTCCGGCATTGGAGAAAACTTCCTCCACTAGGAAGTACAATTCCGGAATAGGATGGTTCAAGTTTCAAAGTACAACCTTCTAAAGTAAGTAAATGTGCATGAAGAGGGCAATTTGTGGGGTTCGCGGCCTCAGTTTGATTTATAATTAAACTATTTTTTTATTTTAAAAAAAAAAAAAAGTGCCTCAGAAGTCCTGGTGGTTTATAGGGCCTTGGTGATGCTCTGGGGGGTGGATGATAGCAGTGACCAGTTGGGACGATAATGCCACGCTATCATTGGGCCAGGTGGCACCATGCCGGGGAGGGGGGGGGGTATGTGGACTGGATGGTACCAGCACACAGTCCCACGAAAAAAAAAAGGAAAATTGCATCTGTACCTAGGCTACCAGCCGGGCCGCCCGGGTCACCTTGTTTTCCCAGGCGGCCCAGCCGTGCAAAGACCAGGGAAGGTCCCAGCAAAAAAAAAAAAAAAAAAAAAAAAAAACCGAAAAAACTATGTTATGCAGAAAAATAAACTGAACAACTTTTGGCTCAGGGTCACATCGAAATTCCTTACCAAATTTAAAATAAAATTAAAAATGTATATATATTGTCACATTGTGAATCAGAGCGCAAAAAAGGGGAAAGAAAAAAGGAAAAGGAAAAAAGGGGGAGGGGGAAGAGGTAAGGAAAGCTCCACCTGTTCATAACCTCTTACGTACAAGGCCTGCCACGTGGATGACAGGTTGAGCGCTGGCTGCCCCCATCCCCGTGTGTCACAAGGACCCACTTGCACGCAGCCAAAAGGCAAAGAGGTAAAGAAAGGGAGGAGGAAACCAAACCTGACAGGGA